GGAAAGTGTGCGCAGCGGCCTTATTCCTGTTGGTTCCTTGGACTTTTAAACAACAGGTCGCGGGTTCGAGCCTTGGGCGTTGAAACATCTCTGGTTGGGTCTGGCTTGCTGCTGAAGGCTGATAACCCAGAAATGAGCAGTTCAATCTCCCCAGTCTTTGTCGGTAATGCTATGAAGAGTACCTCAGTACCAGACATTTATTAGAATCTTATAGTGAAGGCGAAGCAAATATCTCCGGAAGTGGTGTGCACTGGTGTTTATCATCAATGTTCCCGATGACAACGTCGAGGACTTAAAGCTCGCCCTCGCGCGTTGTCTGTCGGTCCAAATGCGTAGTGTGGTCATGTGCATCACCTGGACGACGTGGTAGAAGCACGCAGTCAGGTGAAATCGAGGGCAGAACGTGGGCTGACTGCCTCTGAAAGTGCACAGGCTAAACGTGATGACAAAACCGAAGACCCCGTTTGGCGGAAATTCATGTTCAGCGCTGGACGCAGTAGAGATTATCTCCTCTGACAGGCCGGGGACAGAACATAACGATAGATTATCACCGGGTTCCCACGCTGAATTCTCCTCCTCCAGCCTACGCAGCTAGGGTCAAGGACCAATGCAACTCCTGCGGAGATTAAAGGCGTGCTTTACGCTTCCCGCTAAGGTTGTTGACGTCTTCATATCTCTGGTGCTGAACTCACGAAAGAGGTTAAACACGAAAAGTAGCTCTTTCCCTCCTCGTAATTGCACATGATCTACCTTTATCAGAATCAAACTATTAACTGACAGCCTTAAATGCGTTGAGCCTTCAGGTGTAAGATCCGGACATTTCATTTTGCGCCTTTTTATCAACCACTAATCTCGGATTAAGGGGCCAAAGAGGACTTGAAAAATACAATGAGAACAAAGATTTTCAGAGATGGGCTTGATTCACTGACATGATACACATTCGCACAACGACTGTTCAGTCTTTTTAACTTGCTGGCGAGCATTGCATTAACCGCTCCTACACTATCACATTTATCGATGTTCAATTGCCACAACGCTACAGCTACCGCAAACAAGTATAAATGGAAAAACAGCTTGTAGAAGGGCACAGGTCGTCGTGGTGATTCCCCCGGCTAATGAGCAAGCATGTCTGGCGAGCTAGGGTAACGGTAAAACGAAACCTGTCAGAACATGGACTGCTTCCAAAGGCTTTTTGAAGCAGTTTTCAGTGCGGGAACCCGAAGCAATGAAGGCCGCGTCAAGAAGGAGACAATTTAGCGTGACCCTTCGCTCATTAATAGGACCAGACTAGATCCGATATTTGGCAACCTCCAGAATTGCATCTGTTGGGGCGCTGTGATTGTTTGAAAGCGCAGTGAACGGCAAACTTATTCACTCCTTTTCTGTTGAAGTAAGGGCAAGTCTGCATCAAACTGACTGCAGAGAAGGGAATTACGGTGACAGTGATGCGAAGTCGCCGGTTGAAGTGTGCCACAGGAAGCACTGGACACAAACGGCGCGTCCCCCAATCCATACCAACGTCAGCAAATATTATCATAGGGCTGTGGTAGGAAAGATGATTGGCCATCATTTGGTCATCTTCTTCGTGGACGCAGTCCTAGTTGAAGTGTGGCATCTTATACGCAGGACCAATGACCGGTCAAGACCGACGTGAAGCGGGTTAGCAAAAAGTCGCGCATTGGTTTTCCAGTCGCGCGGCGACGGGCTCACCGCTGTCCGGCCAGTCCAGCATACGTCAAGGATACATCAAGAATATCAAGTGTTCGTGATTATAGAACACCAGTTTATTGACAGAACTGCGTCTGGGATAGTCATCATAACGTTCGCTGCGGAAGCGTTCTCCCGAATGTTCAGCAGGTTTGGACCTTCCTGCTCCCTCTCTGTCTCTCTACAGAAAGGCGGACTTTTGAGGCTCAGCCAACTTCGACCATCGTTTTATTTTTACGCTCGAGGCCGAGAATTTTCACCGCATGCACTGAGTTTTACTATACGTCCGTAATGACACCTACCGAGAACATACGTGTGATCTGAGGGCTCATGACAAATCGGTCGAACAAACATTGACAAACTTTTAGCAGATGCGTATGCATAGGCTCCAACCAATTGATTTTGCGCGCACAATGCACAGATGACTGACTGCAGGAAGTTGAATATCAGCAAAAGCGACCCACCAAAGTGGAGCTGTGTTAGCAAGCTAAACATGAAGTTACTCTATAAAGGGGCCTAAAAACGTTGCCTGCACCCGCTAGAATACAAAGCCGCCCAGTTGATGCGGGAGGCCAGCATTATGTCAACTTTAAAAGCATTAACTTGCCTGACAGTAGTGGACCATATTGCGTACAGACGTGCCGGCTGGAGTGTGTGCAACGTAGACGGGAAGACGGGTCTAGGAAGAAGAAGAAGATGCAAGAGAGTTTGAAGAAAAGGCGTTCCTTGGAAAAATGAGGAAAGTGTACTCAGTAAATGTTCGACACTGGATCCCCAGGCCGTCGTCAGAGTTGAGAAACTGTTAAAAGAACGATTGGGTGTTCCTCGAGGAAAGACAGATGAGGTAGAGGTCAGTTAAACTAGTAGCTTACCGGAAGCTTACCCAGTCGAGTCCTTTTGCAACATGCTCTATAATATAGAGCTGAAAGCGTGGAGCGTTCTTGGCAGAAACCTGGAAATTATTTAGTCATTTCGGCGGATTTTGACCAAAGCATGTCACAAAGACAGCTCCACAAATTAGACCTTTTGGAAAAACAGTAAGCTGCCCATGGGACTCCAAACTGCAACGCATTAATGCCCGCCGAAAGCGTGCTTTCCTCTGCCCTTTGGAGGGCCAACAGTCAGGAGTCTGGGGATTACCGAGGAGGCAGTTATACGACCGTTCCGCTGATTTACTTAGAAATGGATCCTTGTTAGCAAGATCTCGCTGATTGGGCATGAGACGCAACACGCTTCAACTACACTTCTCTGACTGTCAATACCCGTTGTGCCCCTCATGGTTGGAGAAAAAACGAGTGGGAAATTACAGCGGTTTCCACGGCAGCTAAAGGCAACAGCTGTTCTTCTGTTGGTAAGAAAATGCCTTTCGACGCAACTTGAGTAGCACAAAGTGCAGCAATGGTTGCTCTGCAATTGGCTTCCACCACCAAGCGCCGATAGCCGCCAGGTACACTAGGTAGGAAGATTCCCCGCATTGCGTGAATATTCTCCAAGATCGGAACTATTCCGGTCGTCTTCTATAACACGACGTTTTTCTTCTGTGAATATTTGCACGAATTTATAGTGATCCAATTCCAAGTGTACGCGCACTCGCGCTGCTATCAAGTGCGCAAGCCTGCCTACCTAATCCGGTCTGGCCAATCACCTTCAAGACTGACTCACACAGGACCTCACTGTGACGACTGCTGCGCTCACACACTTCGGACACCACCCCACTCGCGGATCGTTGCGCACTCTTCCGACTGTCAACTTCCTACAACCTATTCTCCGCTACTTCTACACAGAATATACTATTCCTCCCACCCTGTGTTCCACTTCTTCTCCCGCATGGAACCGGGTCTGAAGATCCAAGCGGCAACTGTTTCCCTTATTAGCTTAAGCCACTGCGATAAACACCTATTACTAGGAGTCATCTGTGTTAAACTCTAAGGTATGTCTTAGATTCTCTTCGTGTCTCTTGTTCGCCTAGTCGCAGTTATCCAAACAGGTCGGTTAGCTTCACATCTGAAACAGACATGACCTTGACCCAAGACCTTCAAAGGTCTGCCACGGCGACAAACAGTTGTTTTACTCAAACTCGTACATTTCAACTAGTCTCAGCAGATCGCTTGAATCTAGTAATGCCACTTATGCACACTGATGTGCCTAGACATTAAAATAGTTTTCAAAGCAGTTTGGACAGCGAAAGGTTGGGACGACAATTTCTCTCCACTTGGTCACTCTGCTCATCAGCCAGTCACACGTAGTGTTCACCCAATTAGAGCTATAAAAACAAGCAATCAGATTTGAGGCTGATGCAGATATGGACTCTCCATGACATCCCGACCTCAGTGCCGGCGGCTCAGGGACGCTTCATCTTATTCTTAATTAATTCTGTACAGAATATAAAGACTCGTCAACTTACAAACGTGATACGCTCTCAATGGCCGTTCTCAACTCGAAGTGTTCCTAAGTTACCATCCCATGTACTTTTACGTGACACTTAACTGTATTTTAAATCCATATTCATAAGCATGAGTCATGCATACAGCCCCTTCGTTCATGTGCCTGAACGTGCATATGTTGAAATTTCGTAAGTGGAGAAGCGTATGCACACTAATTTCTCTGCTGGTATCTAACTTCGATGTAATACATATACGAAAAAAACAGCCTGGCATCGTGCATGACACTTACGCCTGGTTTATTTATAATAGAGTAGTATAATTCGAAAGCGAAGTTGCGGTCAGCCGCGAACAACAAATCGCTGAGAGGTAACTGAATCGGCTGTAGGAAAAAAGTGGAATAAAATGCGATTAATAGCGTGAACTATCTATCCAATTGTTCTTCACGTAATTAGGCAGGCATAAAATCG